GAAGAAACACGTCACATTTCCGTGAAACTTGTTCCGTCAAGAGTGGTTCGGTGTGCGGAAGCCTTTGGTTCCTTAACCCCTCAACTCATTTCAAACAAATTCAATCAACAAGAAAAGTATGACTGGACGTCGAGTGGTTGCATTGCAGTGAATGGCGATGGCGGAGCGGGCGTCGACATTTTTTTTGCGCTGAATGATGCTGTGACTGACAACGTGGTGGTCTTTGTAGACCAGAGAAAGCGACAGTTCGGTAAATTTCAGCCATGTCACGCAAAGGAATATCTTGGCAAGCTGAGTGTTTGTCCAGACTTTCTCGTGGCACGTGGTGCGCGTTTGGTGAGAGGGGTTTTGAATTGCGTTTCTTTGTCGAATCTTGCGACGTACGATGTGCCGCATGACTGTTTCCTCTTGAGCCCAGACGAGAGTGAGCAGTTTCATGGAACACTGGCGTATCATCCAGCGTGTACGCCGTTCATCTCGGTCAACTCAGCGTGCAAAACAGCTCTCAAATCATTACTTCGAGGCACTATGAAAGCTGTTGATGAAGCTGCCGAAGCCATCTTGACGAAGAGAAATGAACCCAGTGGAGGTTTCAGTAATTCCGACGATGTGCGTTCTTTTATCAAATTTAAGCGGTTGAAAGTCGACTTTGATGACGAGTATGCGGAGTTTTTATCGTGAGTGACAAAAAAGCGAGGTGGTGACAGACTAAAGTCATGCTCGATCTGACAATACTACTAGTAGCAGGCCTTCCGACTAATACAATTCAGTGAAAATAAGATGGCAATATTTGTAGAAAATATTTTTTTACTTGTGATGAAAACTTTCAAAACGATATTTCTAGTATCGTCATAAATTATTTAACCCCTTGAGTTTCGTCGCAAACTTAACCGAATCCCTAGTCTCTCAAACGTGTATGTGGGGGGAAGGGCTTTCATATAAATTCCTTTATGTTTTGCTAACATGTACAGTGCATAGCCGCACTAAAACCCTAAACCTGGAAGACTGTCTCTCCTGTTATCTTGTACCTTCATCTTGTCGAAGGTTCGAAAACGAGCGATATACACTTTAGTCAAATAAACGTGTATAGTAGACTACAAAACCGGTACCTGCATGTGTGACAGGAACTGGTAAGGCGGGCATAGGTTGAACAAGCTTGGTACATAACTAAACCAATGGAACATATGCAGTCAAGTTCAATATCGTAATATTGAGGGCATACAAAACCTAAGTAAAAATTTACGATCGACGCCTTTGATCAGTCAGTCATCTCAGCATCCGGAGCGCGGCGAGCCCGCTTTGGCTGATGCAAGCCGCTCGTCGTGGTTTCATCTCCGGACGACTGGACACTCTCAGCCTCATCCTTTTCCTCGCTTTCAAACATTCCGAACCTCCCGGTGTACGTGCGCGGATCGTGCGCTTCACTGCCTTCCTGGGGAGCAGCCGCTCCGTTTTCTCTTCAGCCTTGTGCCAGATGTTCCAAGCAAGACATTGCAGCTCCGTTGTACGTGTGACGAACCTTCTCACAGAGGAAACTAGCCAAGCCATGGGTCTCTTCGACGTGTTGGGCAGCTTACACTCGCTACACTATACTGACGAATCTCCACCTCTCGCGTTGTCGGTGCCCTTCAAGAGCGAGCAGACCTTGCACGCTCTCGTACGGCGCTTCCGCCCTTGCTGGTTGTTGCCACTGCGCCACTCGTCATTTTGCACAGGTTGGTGTGCGGCTTGGCGAGAATTTGTGCGCTGCATCGGTTTGGTTGGTGTCACTTGTAAGCACGCGTTGTCGTGCAAAGTCGCCCAGTCCTCCTCGCGTAGCTGACACAACTCTAGATGTAGTTGCTTCAAAAACTTTACGTGAGTCAGCTGCGGGTTGTTTGCCTTAGTCTGTCTGGCGTTGTAGACAATGACGGCATTGATAATGGCAAGATCAACGAGTCCGAGAAATAGAGACTTATAGTATTTCTTGTACTTGATACATAGCTGCAGCGAGTATCTACAACATGTATCATACACGATTAGATATATCCATAACTTGGATGTACAATATTGATGCACTTTACCTTTGCAGACGCAGCTGGTCGTGCACGTCGACACCTCCCATGTACGTCTGGTAATCCTTCACAATACGGGGGCAGGCCACTTCTTGTTGTTCACCCGTCAGCTTCTCACGGCGTACTATTCGGTCAATCGCAACACTTCCACCTGTGCTTAGCATGTGCACCGATCGTGTATCCCACCAACGCACAACTTTCATGTCAGGAACTTGGAGTGCTTTGGCCACTGAGTACGTGCCTCTCTCAATATTTGATGGTCGGTTCTTCGGTTTCCGAGGCGGCTTCTTTTTGTCACCCTTCTGCTTTTTTGGTATCAACTTAGTGCTGAGCCCCAAGCGGTCGGTACGCACAGTGCCGATAGAGTAGAAACCCATGGTAAGCAGCTGAACCGAGAGCGGCACTGCCGTGTAGAACCGGTCTGTCACAACGAGGCGCATGGAACCGTCTGCAGGAGCCGTGGGGCCAAATACCGCGCGGAGGTTGCGCACGACGGCTGCAGGGCCGGACTTGTAGTCAGTAGAACTTGTTCCTCCAGCCCTCTCCTTTTTGCCACAATAAACTTCAAACCTGTATCGTACATCATAGTAAAAATATTAGTTTGTACCGTACATGATAAGCCAACTTAGCAACCAAAAAAAAGTGACGTGCCAAAGAGCACGTCCTACATACCGGATGCAATATGCAGTCGCTGAACAACACAGCATGAATAGTTTCGTTCCCCATTTGTGTGGCTTATCCTTCATATACACTCTCATCCGGTTGAACGTTGATCTCGAAGGCAACATAGCCTCATCGAAGGCCATGATTGATGGAGGCGTGTATCCTGCTGCGAAGCGGTTCTGCAGAGCGGTCAATAACCGGGTCGTAGTTTCCACGCCCTATCTGTTGCAGCGCGTTCGTCCCCGGTTCAATTAAAATGTAGGATACCTCGGGAAGATGACAGGAAGCGAGTTTGGAGTCATGATATAACCAAAACATCTCACGTGAGATTTGGCCCACTCGGTCCGTAGGTTCTTCA